TGTTATGTTATGTAATTTAATATCAATTAGAGATAATAATATATTCTCTCTCTACATATACTTCTTTATTCATAATATTGTTCGTATAGATTATTATAGTTAGTCTTTACTTTGAATATGCTTCCTTCAGTGTCTAGTCATTAAAAATATATATTACATAGCCTGATATAAAGTTTCATGAAAATGTTTCCAATATCCTTGTTACAATAGCAAAATCACAGTCCCCTCAGCTTTTGGCTTTGCCATTAACCAAAGGAACAAGTTTCAGAATTACAAGTAGGAATAATGTATTCAAACCAGTATTATTACTAGAATTTTTAACTTTTTCTTAATGTATGTGATATTTTTATAAGCGACTTTAGATATATTTTATTTCGTTTTGAATCTTAAGTATGCTAAATTATAAAAATAGTTGTCTAGATGCTTGGTATACCTACCAGCCGTTTGCAAAGTTTTCCTCAATAAAGTAAACCAGTAATCTATTTGTTCCAGATATAAGGCATTTGCTTATCAAAATGCCGTCAACCCACCTAAACCTACGCGAGGATGACGTAGTCCGGCTGGCCCTAGAGTTTCTACACAACCGCGACTTGCACATTACACAACTATCATTAGAGCGTGAAACCGGAGTTATTAATGGCAATTTCGCTGATGACGTATTGTTCCTACGTCAGCTTATCCTCGACGGACAATGGGATGACGTACTGGAGTTTATTCAACCACTTAGCGCTCTTAAAGCTTTTGAAGCGGACAAATTTAATTACGCTATTCTAAGGCATAAGTATATAGAATTGTTATGTATAAGATCTGAAATTAAAGCTTATAATAATGTGGAAAATATCGTAGATGAAGTTGTCAAGGTCCTTAGTGATTTAGAGAAGCTAGCGCCCTCGAAAGAAGAATACTCAAATCTATGTTTATTGTTGACCTTACCCAGTATTACTGATCACGCCCAGTTTAAGAAATGGAACCCTAGCAATGCGCGCGTTCAGTGCTTCAGAGAGGTGTATCCTCTCGTTGAACAATTCTTGCCTTGCGATAAAAAATCGAGCGGTTCTGTGTCTAAATGTGCAAAAAATGATCGATTAATGCAATTACTCATAAAGGGAATTTTGTATGAATCATGTGTTAACTACTGCCAGGCCAAAGCCACGGGCTCCAAGGAAGCACAATCAAATGAAGTAAATTTTTCAAGATTATTAGATGGTTCTGGGTTTGATGAATCAGATCTGAGTTTACTATCATGGCTACAGTCTATTCCTGCCGAGACATTTAGTGTTCCGTTTGAACAGAGAATGTTGAATGTAGATGTGGAAAAGTTAGAGCGTCCGTCGTTACATACTTCATGGACGGAGCACATGCTGGTTACGCCCATAAAACCACGCACATTCCCCCATTTGGCGATGCCATTTAGGCGACCACGCTCGGCCGCCGATGCTATGACGAGATCATTGCGTCCGCTTCCTGACGGTGCTCCCCGGCACCCAGCTGTTATGGCTCTCTCGGCAATCGATTATGGCCCGTCATCTTCATGTTTTGCTGGATTTCATTTAACTGGAATTAAGGGCAGCAGACTGATGAACACTTCTGTTGATAGATTATTTGACAGTAAAAACGCCGAGAGTATTTTTAACGGGCTAAACGAATCTCTCAAAACTATCGATGAAACATTGAAACCCATCGGCGAGTACACAGGCTCTTCGAAAACGAACGACAGTAGTATCGGCGCGTCTAACGCCACTACTCCCGAGCACAGGGGGCAAGATTACTCAGCCTCTACGTCGATATCAAACACGGCAGCGTCGACAGAACGCTCATCACTCGCAGAGCGCACGCCGCAGCAAGCTGAAGCGGCAATGCTGCCCGGCGCCGATGGCGATTTTAGAAGGGAACTACTAAAAGAATATCAAATTCAGAAACAACGCGAGTGCGATGATTATCTTCGTAATCTTTGCTCTTCAGACTTGAGGCAACAGAAAATGTAAATATATTTAAACTCGATTGGATGAAACCAGTTATTTTAATGATTCTTTCGAATTACTTATGCATTTACTTTCTTTTACTTTCAGGGTGGAACAAATAGAAGATGTTGCATCAGCTTTTCCGTCAGCTGTCAAGAATCCACAACAGATAACTGCAGATAAAAGTCGTGAGCAGCCGCCTTTTATCAGGTAATGTCTTACATAATTTTAAGCCGTTTAATTAGTTGCTATTGGTGCTTTAATGATTGATTATGAACAGTTAAATATTTATCTTAATTTATTTAGGTGATAGAAACAATATGCGAGAACTCGCGTATCTGCAAAAAGATATGAATGTAATTGATAGCAGATGATTACTAGTATGCAGTACATGCACGAAGAAGCATACAGTAACGATTTTTCTTACGGAGTGCTGTACTTTCATCGGTAGAGCGAGCAAGCAATTTGTTCTGAGTGTTTGGTCGCCAACTGCTCTTGAGCTGTTTTCTCTAACGAGCCGATAAATTACAATGTAATATGTAAAGTGGTGTGGTGTTGTTATCCGTTTGAATTGAAAACAGTGCATGAAAACCGAAACCTAGTGTGTGCATCGTTGTGTGAAGACATTTCTGAACTCTTCAATTTCTCGTGTTCCAGGAAAAACGACACTATCGAAACGCCGGATATGGGAGACACGAAAAACGTAAGATTTTTTCATTTATTTTACTTTAAAACGTTAACCTCGATTATTTTGTTTTTAGCCTTGGCCATTGTTTTAATTAATTTTATGTATGAACTTCATAACACGTTTTGCCAAATAAGCGAAATGATGATATGTTATCAACAATTAAGCTACTTAATATTTAATAACTGATATACGTACATTTGATAAAGTTAATATTGAATACCACATTAAGTTTATTTAAAACAGGATTAGTATTTATACAAGTTCTACAAGATGATGTGTAGTTTTGTAGAATACTAAATAAACTTCTTGAAAGTTCGTATTTCACTAAAAAAATAATGTTTTAGTAATATAATAACGAAGTAAATTTAAAGAATTTTATGAGATTTCTCATTGAAAGGCGTTCACGGTCCAAATAGAAATATTTTTTTAAGATTTCTAGGTCGGAACAAGTATGAATTGAGGATGTACCGTACGTGTTAGAAATGCTGTATTATAAAGTCTTATAATTTGATTAGGCGATAGATAAAATTGGAAAATAAACATTTTATGAAGTTTCGCTGCTATAATTTGATGAAATTGTTAGATACGAGTAGTCGAAGTAACAATTATTTATAATTTACGTTACGCTATACAAATATAAATACAAGCATTATTTAAAAAAATAGTTTAATCTAAGACGTAACGGGTACTCATTCAAATCCTGAAGGTGCGTAATGTTTACACCATAAAATGCATTAGTGATGTTATTGCATGGTCGGAACAATGATATTGTGTTCTAGCACTATTATATCGGTTGGTACAATCGATTAGATTACAATTTTAGGAATCTATCTCCAATAGTGTCGTTACCGAGTTTACTTACTGCTTTCTGCCATTAATTGCTCGGCGCAGTGATGCTGTCACATGATTGTGTTTACTCGTACGAAGAATGTTCGTTAGTCATCTTATTTTCTTCAGACTATCGTTCGAAACTATCACTAATTATATTGTTATCATGTAATTGTAATCAGCAATAATTCCTAGTTTCGTGTTCAATGCGTTTATTGTTGAAGGAAGTGAGAGGTCTGGATGCTTATTATGTGTAATTCAATTATTTATTATTAAATCAGTTGTGTTCACTTGTCATGACTGGTTTTCGTTTTCTTTGTACGTTATTAACTCTTTCAGTCTTGGTGGTCATTGTAACAAACCACCTATTCTTAGAAATTCAATTTATTAAGTATGCTTCAAATTACTTTGCATTGGTTTTCAAGCATTTTAGTATAATTGAATAAAATATATTCGTAACCAGTTAAAAGTGTGACTGAAAGAGTTAAGGAAGCACTAGCAGAATAATATTTTAGCTGCTTAGTTAAATTTGGGATAGATTGACTTATTGATGTACTAATTAAAACAATTAGCTTCTAGCACGTTGTCCCCAGCATTCTTGCGTTTTAGACCGAAATATTAAAATCGGAATCTGTGTATTATTTAACTTATGACGAGACAATCAAGTTCAACGAACGGCCATTTCCTTCGATGAAAATAGTAACAAAAAAATTCAATTGTATTTTATTTTTTAAATCGCTTAGGTTTTACACAAATATCATCTATTCTATCAAGCAAATGTAAATTACATTGTAATTTTAGACTACTTCTGAAATCAATAACTTCCAGATTACTGCTCTAGGTATCTCATAGAAGTTCTTCTTAAGAGAGCTAGCTCCCATGAGCTAGCTATAATGGGTAGAAACTCGTCTTTGGATAAAAATAGGAATCACAAAAAAAAACACTAATTTAAATGTCAACGGCGTGTAAAAAAGCAAACTGTGGTATACTACTTCTAACTTCAATGAATTTCATGTTGCTGCTCTATCTTCTAAATTCTTGTACAAACACAAAGCTCACGATCTAATATCCTCCTCCTTCTAATTAAATGAGTAGTATTAATATTGTATTTCTACTGCACATTGCTCGTTAACCAATGCCAGGCTCATAGGAAACGGAGTGACATATGAAAGATTTTTGTATATTTTTCGTAACAACGTTTAATTAAATAGTTTTATAGATGTCAACTTATGGTAAACAGATTACCTGAAAGGGAAAACAATATTACAACAGCAACTGTAATTATAACGCAAATGGAATTGGACCACCGTATTTTTGGTCACAAAAATTGCGCAAATGTACCAAAAGGTTTTTTGTTCAATCACTGCAGCTATCAAATATTGAACATCCAATGTTGTGCCACTAGCTAAATCACTATTAAATGAAATGAGAGGTGATACTAGTGACATCTGATGAGCAAATATATAGTAGCCCCCATTGACATTAAATATATTCTTATAGTAACCATAATCATATGTTTTGAGATGTGTTTACATCTTCATACCCTGTTTTCTACATGTTTAGTAGACATATTATTTAAACCTTTAACTAGGGTGTCAATTATGTAATTTCTATGTATAAAACGTACCTTGTAGTGACGTCACGTTCAAATCAATGTATCGTCGAAAGTATTTGTTTCCGGATGAAAATAAAGAAAAACGTGTTCGTGTGTATATTGCTTCAAAAAATCTACTAGACGGACTTTAAAACAAAAATTAGTCATCCTCCGTAGTTCGTAATAAGTGAACTTTTCTTGGTAAAGAGTCGTTGTTTCATATAGTCACAAACAACATTTATAAAATAATAACTGTGGATGGTCTGATCTCACAACAGAATTGCAGTGTTACAGAAGGGATTCTGATATCTTAAAAAAGAAGTAGAAGAGTTTGCAGGTGACATAACCAATGACAGGAGAATACTTTACCTCTACTCATACATTTTCATGGATTGAAAACGCCTTTTTATGATTGTAACACTGTTTTGGAAAAAATGCATAATGCATGAAACTTACACTCGAAAATGACATTATTATGCGTGTGGTGGTGGGTTTTGTGGTGTTTAACATAACACATATAAGACTGTAACTAGAATTAGGATTATATGAAAGAAAAAAAGAAATGAAATGAAAATGTTATTCATCAGGACGAGCACGGGATGTTACACGAAACGTCGCGCGGTGCCTGGTTCATACGAAAAATGAAAAGAAAAAAATGCTTTTAACAAAACAAATGACACACTAATGACATCACGCTTAGAATGGCACGTCTTTAATCAAATCTTTTCGATTTATTATTCTCAAAGCAAGGTTACTAATGTATATTAAAGAAAGTTAATGGAAAGTTCACCATACGACTTATAAATTAAAGTAGTTATAAATTAACGAAGTTATATAACACCATTACAAACAAACATTAAACGATAAGCAGTAGTTTAAGCGAGACTTAAATTTTTCTGCAGGCTTTCTAGCACAACGTAACCAAAACGAAACTGCTAGATTGCTTAAGCTATTAAGTAACGTCTGGAACGAACTCCTAGCCGAATGGCAGAGTAAATGGGAATCTTATATAAAGGGCCACCTCAGTTCTATCCATCCGTGCATGAGCGGCTGGAGAGGACATGGTTGAAGGTCGTGTTGCCCAATTTCGTACTGGCCATGGCAACTTTAAAAGCAAATTGTTCTTCTTTAAACTTGTTGATTCACCTGGTGTCAATGTTGGACAGCGGTGTTGCAATACGAGCAGTCCGCCCAATGCATACGTTGGGAGTGTGATCTCTTATCTCTGGCAATGTGGTGTGAGGTATAGTTTATTATACGTATCTTGCGGAATCTAGAACAACTTGCGCGTGCGTTTAGGCTAAAACCTGCCATACATATTATTGGAAGTATGTAAGTACAACAGCTCACACATAGAACCCATTTAGTTTTAAATCCGTGGTTCTCGGCGACTGGTCTTCTCCCAACCGTGTAGCCGTGTTCCAGTGGCTTCATTGTTGCATCTACTGTAGATTCTAGCTTACTGGAGTTGCGGATTAGAGAAGTTGTGGTGGGCTAGTCTCATAAAAAAATGGAAGGATGTGACCTGATGATAATAATATACAACGATTTTGTACGTACAAATAATGTATGAGCACCCGTGCTTAGTTACGCAATAAGTAAGTCTCATCAACTCAAGGATTTAATCACAAAGTTATTATTATACGTACCTATACGTAAAAAACATTTGTTGTTATATTAATCATTTATAATTTATGAATATTCATCACGTAATCGTAGACAATGAGCTTTAGTTTTTTATACACATTTTATGAATAACTCGAACTATAAATCATGCATGAGCTACATATTGCTATGTCTATATTAGCAGGTATACAGATGAAGTATGGAAGTATAAAAATTAATGAAAAAAAAAAATACCAATAATATCCAGATTATGCGGGTATGAAACAATGGAATAACGCGCCCAGCAATTTAATAATAACGTGGTTATTGTAAATGTTTTGGTTTAACTCTCCATACGTTTACGAAAGATCTCTTACAATATTAGATGTGGTTTGAAAGTTAATTGGAATGATGACGGAGTATGAAAATGAAAAATCTAATTAGTCTCTAAGTTGGGTAATGAAAAAATATTAGACAAATATTTTTTTATTTTGTCGTATAATAAAACGATACTTAGATAAAAGGAATCGAAGTTTAGGATTGGGGTAACGTCATTTCTACGTATAAAATGTACATAGAAGTTACGTCACGCGACATTTTAAATCACTATATCGTCGAAAGTATTCGTTTCTGTAAGTAAAAAAAGGGTCCAATGATTTAAAATAATCTACCAGACGGACATTCGAATAAAAATTAGGCATCTATCCTACTATAGTATTATTGCTACTTGCCAGAATTTAGGACATTAAAACCACAATGTTTTTGAACATTTCCAACGGTATAAAATTCACAATCTTAAATTCTATAAATCTTTATCTTTGAAAACCTTTTGCCGCCGCCTACTCGTATGTTTATGTAGTTAGTATATAATTTATTTACTAGTTTGATTTTAAAACGTTCCGACTGTTCTTATTTATTGCTACTCAGTAATTATGACCTTCATACGTACTGAATTGGATTATTTTGTGCCCACGCGAAATACTTAAAA